AGATGTCAATTGGTGGAAAAGAAAGTAAATCGTCTTCCTTATCTTCTATTCTTCAACCTGACCCAGAGGATTCAAATCTAGGCACGCCAAACCAAGTTACATCAACTAAACACGCCAAACCAACATACATCAAACTAAACACACCAAACCAACATACATCAACTAAACACGCCAAACCAACATACATCAAACTAAACACACCAATCCAACATACATCAACTAAACACGCCAAACCAGCTTACATCAACTAAACACGCCAAACCAACTTACATCAACTAAACACGCCAAACCAACATACATCAAACTAAACACACCAAACCAACATACATCAACTAAACACGCCAAACCAACACACATCAAACTACAAAAATCGTTCTCTAGGAATATACCACCACCAGGTTGCAAAGATACAGAGATTGGAAATTTTAAACTTTATTGTTTTTCAACTAAATCTGTGTACAACGTTATCGCTAATCGATACCATAAAATAAATATTAAATGGAATACAAAAATTTGTAAAGCATTCAAATATATCTTTATTATTTTCAGTTTGAAAAAGAATAGCCTTGAGACTACTGTCCAAGGTAAATTCAACAAAAAGTGTTTTTAAATGGAGTAATTTTCACTTTCTTTATCAGATATTTAATATGAAGAAAAAACAATTGCTCGTGAAAAGTGATAGGTTTTAAGCTAATGATCAAATCAATATTGAAATATTATATTTTCCAGTAATTTATTCGTAACTTAATAATTTCTTTCCGTCAGAACAGCAATTCATAAACAAACAGGATTTTTAAACAGATTTTTCTCACCATTACGATTCCATAAATTTTCATTTTAAATTAAACAGATCCTTCCACATAATGATGGGAAAAAGCTGATCAATTTAAATGTATAAAAATTAAAACCTTATCTCAATTTTGCTAGAAAGGATTTGAGCCTTTTTCACAAACTCTGATTTTTTAATCCCTTTAAGATACTACAAAAACAAAACAAAATCTCTTTTATAATACAAAAATTGATTATCTTCAACAAAAACTCTCTTAATTTGCAACCATCCAACTTTAAGATGCCAAAAAAGCGGTTTTTTAATATAAGAATTTTTATGGTTTCCTAAATCGCAACGTCTTGGGCTTTTATTTTACCGCTCTAAAACATTTATGCTTTTCTGGAGCTTTTTACATGTATATTTTAGCATTATAAAGCACTTGTTCAGTTGTCAGCTTTAGTTTTTAAGAAGTAATTGGCGAAAATCTCTTGAGAGCTAGAGACCTTTAAATACGAAAGTTGGAATTTGTGGAGTTTTTGGCAAAGAATTTAATTCTTTTTGAGACTTTTAAAATGTGTTTATCATTTAATGAAATGAATTGTTCAGATATACCAGCAAATGTTATGATACAATTAAACAAGTTCCTGAGCAGTCCTAGTCAGTTAAATCTACAGTAACCTATCCCCCCTACCTTGAGCAAATCATACCTTGATTTATAGATTAATTTGTAGATGTGTGTTCAAAAAATCATACACCAAAAAATTGCCAAATGTCCAGAAAAACTTACAAGATTGTTAAGATGACATAATATAAAAGTAAATAAAATATAAGAAGAATTATATTAAATCTACTAATGCTGTTGTAAACAATAAATCTCTCACCGTCTAGCTTAACAGTTTTTTGTTGTAGCTGCGGAGATGTCAATTGGTGGAAAAGAAAGTAAATCGTCTTCCTTATCTTCTATTCTTCAACCTGACCCAGAGGATTCAAATCTAGGCACGCCAAACCAAGTTACATCAACTAAACACGCCAAACCAACATACATCAAACTAAACACACCAATCCAACATACATCAACTAAACACGCCAAACCAACATACATCAAACTAAACACACCAAACCAACATACATCAAACTAAACATACCAAACCAACATACATCAAACTAAACACTCCAAACCAACATACATCAAACTAAACAAACCATACCAACATACATCAACTAAACATACCAAACCAACATATATCAACTAAACACGACAAACCAACATACATCAACTAAACACACCAAACCAACTTACATCAACTAAACACGACAAATCAGCTCACATCAAACTAAACACGACAAACCAGCTTACATCAACTAAATACACCAAACCAACAAACATCAACTAAACATACCAAACCAAATTACATCAACTAAACACGCCAAACCAACACACATCAACTAAACACGACAAACCAACTTACATCAACTAAACACGCCAAACAAACTTACATCAACTAAACACGACAAAACAACATACATCAAACTAAACACACCAAACCAGCTTACATCAACTAAACACGACAAACCAGCTTACATCAACTAAACACGCCAAACCAACATACATCAAACTAAGCACACCAAACCAAACATATCAAACCAAGCACGACAAACTAAACTCCACAAACAGACCCCAAATGATTTAACACCCCAAACTAAGCAAACCAAGCTAAACATGCCTAACCAAACACATCACCTAAACATGCCAAATTAAACATGCCAAACCAACATATACATCACACTGAACATGTCAAACTAAATATATATCAAACTAAATATGCCAAACCAAACATGCTAAACTAAACACGCCAAACCAACACACATCAAACTAAACACGCCAAACCAGTACACATCAACTAACATGCCAAACTAAAGATTCCAAAGCAATATACATTAAACTTAACATGCCAAACTAAACACGTCAAACCAAGCTCGACAAACTTGATTCGCCAAATTAAATTCGAATAATTGACATTCAAAACTAAACAAACCAAGCTAAACCCTTTAAACTAGACAAGCCATACAAAACACATCAAACCAAGCACGCCAAGATAATCACGAAAAGCAATCCAAAACAAACTAAACACACCAAATTAAACTACATTTGTTTCCTAAATGAAGTTTACAAAATGAACATTATATATCCCGTGGACACATTGTGTGCAGTTCATTTCCAAACGAATAACGGCGAAAAAGTTTCTTGATTCTAATTTTTTACATTTGAAAACATTTGAATAAATTTGATTAGTTTTGAATAAATTTGAAAATATTTGAATACATTTGAATACATTTGAATACATTTGAATTGATTTCAATATATTTAAATAAATTTGAATAGACTTAAATATATTTGAATACATTGAAATAGACTTGAATAGATTTGAATGGATTTGAATAGGTTTTGTGAAGATTTGAATTTTTTTTAATGAATTTGAATAGGTTTTAATATATTTGAATAGATTTAATTATGATTTGAATACATTGAAATAGACTTGAATAGATTGGAATGGATTTGAATTTTTTTGAATGAATTTTAATAGATTTGAATAGACTTGAATATATTTAAATAGATTTAAATATATTTGATGATATAAACATCTGCTCTATTTCCATTTGCTCTATGGCCATTTGCTCTAGTTCCATTTGATCCATCTAGTCATTTGGTCTATACGTCATTTGTTCTATATTCAATCTGCTCTATACCTCATTTGCTCTATGACTAAACACGTCATTTGCTCTATAACCTAAAAATACACTATAAAATAGCTTTTATTGGAATTCCTGAGTGTAACTTGACTATAAAATGCGGGAATTATTTTTGAAAATTTGCAAATTGCAGTTTTAATCAGTTCTTCAAAGTTCATCATGACAGAGAGACTGCTCATTAATAAGAGTTGTAAAAAAACCTAATATGTGGTGAAAACTATATTTATTCTTCTCTAAACAAAACTACCTCTAGGAAGTTGGCGGAATAATAAAACTGTAGATTGTAGATTGTAAAATTGTAAAAATATAGGTTTAATATGATCAGATATTTGTAAAATATGTTTATAGAGCAAATGACGTGTTTACTCATAGAGCAAATGTTGAGTAGAGCAATTGGACCATCACAGTCATAAAAATGTTAAGAGAGCAAATGACGTGTTATGTCATAGATCAACTGACGCATAGAGCAGATGACATATAGAGCAAACGTCGTGATCTATGAGCTATAGAGCAAATGGTTGATAGAGCAAATGGAACTAGAGCAAATGGCCATAGAGCAAATGGAATTAGAGCAGATGTCGTAGTGCCAATAGATTAGAATAGATCTGAATATATTAAAGAATAAAAAAATTTAACGATTTCTCAATTCAGCGCCTCTAGCCCTAGATCGTAACATTTTTTTTATTTTTTTTATTATCATTTTTTAAGTTATTTTTTTACAATCCGGTGTCAGACATAAAGAAATTTGATTTTTGTAATAAATGTTGACAATAAACACCTCCCTTTTTTACACTTCCTAACTACAGGATTAGCCAAAAAAGGATTTAACTTTGATGCAAACAAACTAAAGGAATTGCGTCTTTGCCACAAACTCAAATTTTAATTCCTATATCTATGCAACCTGATTCGTGTGCCCTTTTTATATTTCAAACTTAGATTATTTGATATTACAAAATTCATAGTTTAAAGTATCTAAGGTCCACAACATTTGGTTGCAAAGTTATAGGGATTAAAGAGTAAATTTCTTTAATGATATGACATCGAAATTTCCCCCTCTCTGTCTTGAATATATATATATATATAAGACACTAGAAAATGAAGACTAAAGTTATAATTTTAAATAATCAACATAAAACACAGAAATTGTGCAGTGTTCACAGACCTTTTTTACCTCAGGTATTAGTAAAACTATATAGTTTGGTTCAGAATAAAATCAAATACACAATACAACAAAATATTTTGTATAATCTCTACATTTATACCCTTCCGAGTCAAACTTCTGTCGTACCATAGTAATCATACAACCCTGATAGTTTGACCCAGCTCGACTTTATTAGTAGTTGGGAGAATACTGCCTGTAGAAATTTTTAATTTTATAAATTTTTTTTTTCAGTAATAAACTTAGGAGATGAAATATGAAAAACAGAATAATAAACACTCCCTTGCATTATACAGTCTACAGTATGACATGTGTAGTGTGTACTTCCATTTGTTCGCAACAACAATATGGTGAATTTCTGCCTCTCATACCAACATCATTGGGATCACATTAGATGGAATAATCAGGAACCTTTGTTTCTATTGGTTTGGCGTATAGGAGATAAAGATGATTATTCTTATCATTCAAACTCATCCCGACCTCATTCACCAGTTCCATCATCTCACTCATCCCACCCCCCTTCTCATCCCACATCCTCAACCCCTCCATCCCCAATCCAACAGCGCTCAGCCTCTTTATCCTCTTTTTCGTCCTCAAGTTCAGACGAGGATATCCAGGTACAAGATTTAAATGTGTTTTTAAAACAGGGTTACCCTCAAAGGATGAGACTTCAAAGACGATTGTAAGTAATTAATTTCGTAATTTCCTTGCATTCAGGGTTCCTTGTAGACCAAAGCTGGCTTATGTATCTGCTTAATCATTTAGTAAACCATAAAAATACTTAATTGAGAGCAGAAACCAACAAGCAAGCTTTAAAAATCGTCTTTTTTTAGAGTTTTGGGTCGTCTTTGCAGTCTCATCCGTTGTGGGTAACCTTGTACATAATTCTGGGAACTTTTGATTTTGAAACTATACTTACATAGTTTATAGCAAATTTACGATACGTTTTTTCTTCCGATTCTTAAGAAATTATATACCCGTGAATTTAAAAATTCTCAGCTCTACCTCAATAATATGTTTTTAAAAGATTGTCAAGAAAAATTTACTTTAACTCTTGCAGGACAAAAGATCCTGATATAACTGCTTGTAATGATGGACAATAGCAAGATTCGTTTTCTAACCTTTTCAATGTTAGACAAGGCACCACAAAACTCTGTTAAGGTTCAAACCATTTAAGATTGTATTCTTTAAAAACTGTGCAAAATTTTTACGCTAAGATAAGATCAAATCCAACCAAGACAACTATCATTTTTGGTTCATTTTTTTAACAAGTTTTCTCTCAGGATTAAAATATGGCATTGTGAAGTAAAAATATGTTTAAAAACCTCTCAGATATTTGTGCAAGTTAAAAGTTACGACCTCTAAGACCGACTTAACAGAATATGTGAGCATGGGTTCAAATATGAGACGCAGTTCAAACTTTGTATTCAGTGTTTAAAATTTGATCCAGCGCTCGATTGGAACTGTTTTTTTGTGGATCAGCGAAGCAGTTTAAGTTCTATAAAATTGACCTCAGATTTAATAATAATACTTTAGGTATTAGAGGATATACCAAGTTCACCCAGCCCAACACCACCAAGGTATGTTAAACAAAGATTTTAAAAACGTAGACGCTGCTACTGGCTTATCTTGTTCTTTCTAAAACAAAGGAGTCTTTGTGACAAACTATGATTTTATAATCCATATATCTTTGCAACCCAACCTCATTTCAAACCATGAATAAAATGTCTACACCTCAAGTAGCAAAGTTTAGATTAGGTAATTGAATTATGTGGCAAAACTTTCAAAACAAATGTCGCCGAACGTCCCTTTATGATCCCCTTCTTGAACCAACAAAAATAGAGGATAAAAACTGATTAAAGTAGAGAAAGTTATACTGTAGAATTATTTTTTTCAAGGGGCCTTTCATTTAAGAGAAGAAAGATCGATTAACAACGGTACCGCATTAAAAGTTTTGTCTAGTCAAGTATAAATCTTATATCCATGTTTCTATTATAAAAAAACTTGTTATTTTTGGTGTCAATACCAAGCGTGACTTACCGCATTTCTATATTGTATAAACATATTATCAGAATTAAACACTTTTAAACCTAGAAATATCGTAATCTTCCATATTGCTGATCAGAGAAAGGTGATAAGGGTTCTGTTGAAAATTTGACATGTTTCGCTTTAAATGGAGGATTTAAGAAAATAATTTTTAAAATAATTTTAGATCCGTGGATAAAAAATACAGCACTCTTAGGTCTATCAAGTCACTTAAATCTTCACTCTCTTTTAGGTCAGTGAATTTTTCTTTAGAAAAATTTGGTTGTTTGAAATATAAATCACTTACTAAATAATAACGAATATATTTGTTTTATCATATTATTTATTATACTTATTATTATGTTTTCCTGTAACGTTATATCATGAGTAAATTAATGTTAATTTTCCACTACGTGAACAATGCAAATTGCATTTTAAAATCTTAAGTGTAAATGTTGCCAACAAAAGAACCAACTATGTTTGAGTCTCGCGTCTCAAATTTGGACGCGGTTCAAATTCTTTAAATTCGGTCTCACGCTTGGTGAGCCAAAAATAAAATAAGAATATGTTTTTCTTCACAAACCTTTCAGTGGAGAAGTCTGCAAAAATTTTTGGAAAATGTTAATTGTCTAAAATTTACAGAAATAAACATAGGATGCTTCAATATATACCAGGGAACAAAAAAGAATCTTTGTCAGCCTTCTTCGGACTTAAATTCCGTATAGATGGATTTTTTATATTTGATTAGATTCATTCTTTAAAATTTAAAACTTGCAATTCAATTCATCATGTTTTAATGCCATGGGTGCCACCCAAACGACAAATCTCTGTCCAATTATATTATCATAAATAATTAAAATAGACATCTTTGGAATTTTAATTGATTGCGCAAAAAGATTGCTGTTTTGTAGAAAAAAGACTGCTAAATTGAAAAATACAGGGTGACCCACGAAAAATGAATGGTAGATAGCCGTCTTAAAAATCGTCTGTAATATTTAATTTCATCCAAAGGGAAACATTTTGTATCAGAAAAGGTTTCTGACGTATAATCCTTTCTTAGTGTAATTTCCCCACTGAAAAGCTTATCGGACATTTTTTTATAATTTTTATCCTTTGATAGCTATCAAAAATCAAAAAGCTATCTTTTAGTCTTTCCTCAACTGTCAAGTTTTTCATGACACCCTGTATGCAATACACAAAATTTAGAATAAGTTACATTTTACAATTTTCTGTTTCCGATATTGATCGTTATTATTACTATTATTATCTTTATTATTACGATTAGATATTACTATAATTATTATTATTGTTACAATTATTATTATTTTTCATTTCAATATTATCACTATTTAAGAGATCCATCGGGAAAGTTCAAACTATTCTCTAAATCTAGCAGCCAGGAAAAGAAGTCAAAACCTGACTTAGAAACTCAAAAACAAGGAACAAAAATATTCTTTTATTGCCAATAACAGTAGAAGTAAGGAAAGGAATTGAGTTTTTGTGAATCGAGAGAAAATATTAAAATTTTAGTTATTAAAAATTTTGGTGAGGTAATTTTAAAATGTTAATCAACTAAGCTTTTTTAAATATTTTGAGGTTTTTTATTTGAAAACCACAGCATCGTCTAAATCCAGTCAATTTAAATAAGAATACGTATTTCTTCACAAACTTTACCGTAGCTGTTTAATATTTTTTTTAATGTTTATCGGCCTTAATGTCCAGAAATAAACATGAAGACCAAAACTTTTTTTGCCAAGAAAGTATCTGCTTTAATATAAATCAGGGATGGAAATTATGCTCCGTAAAAGGTTTTATTAATCTTCTCCAGACTTGAATATAAGATACTAGAAATTCAAGGCGCTTCGCGCCCTTCTTTCTAGCCTTAGAGGGCGCTTCGCGCCCATATTCTAAAATAGTTGTGAACATGTTCTCTTTGTGTACATCGTAAAACAAAACAAAAATAATTCGCGGATTTTCACAAAAAATTTCGCGGATTTTCAAAATTTTTCAAAATTTACTGACGATCGAATTTTGATTGAGACAAATATTTGAAATTTTGATTTTTCATAAACCTTCCCTGGGGTCCCTAGATGTCCCACAAAAAATTTGGGCCCGATCGGTTCAGCCGTTTTGACGTTTATTGGATACAAACAGACAAACAGACAGACAAGCCAAATTTATATATAGATTGATTTTATGCAATCTTGAAAATTTGGTTTAGTTTTTTCATCTTTTTCTAAATTTGAAAGAAAATTTTTATCAGAAAAGACAGACATAGAATCGAGGTAATACATTAAAAAAAATCTGATAAAATACTTGTTATTATTGATAAAAGTTTCAATAATCGTGCAATTCTGTACTTTATTCAGGAACTCTGATGATTATGATTCAGAAGATGACTCTTTTGAAGATACAGATAATGATTACAGAGATGATCATGATAAAAATAAAAATAATGATGATAACGAATCTGATGATGATGATTATGATGATGATGAGCATAAAGTTGTACATAAAGATGAGTATAAGGACGAGAGAGAGTCCAGCTCCCAGGATGATGATTTCGATTCAGATGAAGCTTTGGATGATTTTGAAACGTATTCAAAGGTGATAGGTTTAATTTATATTTGTAAAAGTGACCCACCAACTGTAGATTAGCATGTATTATTAATTGATATAGTAATGTTTTATTTATTGATATAGTAAACAATTAAATCAGATCAGAAAAAGGTTGAACGTGTACTGTTGTGAATCACACATGCTTATTTTTTTTATTTGGGGTGTCAATTACGGCCTGAAAAATCCGAAGAAAAAATACAATTTCTAGATCAAAAACTTAGTTTAAAATTATGTTCAGGTCACAAGAATCAAACCAAAGGCAAGTTCTAGCTTTAACTCAACTGACAAGAGTACAAGATCTGACTCTAGATCTTCTAACACAAGATCAAGATCAAATTCCGACAAGAGAACAAGAGTAGACTCAAGATTATCAGACAAAGAGACCCAAGAATATTCAAGAATATCAGAGTACAAGGCCAGAAAGGACTCTAACAAGAGGACAATAGAAGGCTCAAGATTGTCTGATACTAGACGTTATTTAGACAAGAACACAAGACCGGATTCAAGACTTTCCTCTCAGGGTTCAAGATCAGGATCAGAAAGCAGAACAAAAGTGAACCATAGGAAAACAAGATCGGAATTAGAAAGTAGGACAAGACCAGATTATGATCAAAGATCAGGATCAGATAGAAGATCCAAATCAGATCATAATCAAACAAGAGCAGAAACAGAGAGATTAACAAGAGAAGATTACGAATACACAAGATCAGGCAGTCGGACAAGATCAGGTTCTGAGATCAAAACAAGATTAGACTCTAGAGCAATTGATGTTTATCAAACTCTACCTGGTTCAACTGAAAGACAAGATTTTAATAAAAGATCTAAATTAAGCAAGACCAATTACTCACAAGAAAAGTTAAGGTTAGTCAAATGTTTTCAAAAAAAATTACTTTGTTAATAAGACGATTTTTTCAAACAAACAAATTTAAAATGTCTGTAAACAACAACAAAGGCTAGAATCTCACCGCCATTCTTAATTTTATCGTCATCTATGATATACAGACGATCAATTTTTATGTTTTTTTTTTTTGGTTAAAACGAAATGTGATCACTGTTCAGAGCTGCGGAATTAGCCGAAATCCGATATCAAACACAAACACGTTACTTTTCACAAAATGGACCTTTCATTAAAAAATAAACTAAAAATTAAAAAGATCAAATAGAGGCTTTTTTAATATTTTGGGTTGAATTGGATGAAAGCCTCGAACATTAAAGTAGTATTTTTTATAATCAATGTAGTTTTGAGTGTCGACTTTGTAGTTTTCTAAAAAGTAAAATTCATGATATTCTAGAAATACAACTCTAAAATAAATAAAAATTATTTCTAGAATAATTCTAGTTCACGTGTAGAACTTAACAACTGTTAACGGTGTTAAATAGTGTACTAATATTTGGTAAATCTACCGCTAGTGCCGTTAATAAACATAGATCGTTCATGAAAGGAAAATATTTATAAGTAAGGGATATGGAAAAACTTAACTTTCTTAGTTGAAATCGAATGAATAGTTAAATTTACAAGCCCCGGAACAAATATCATTCCGGAAATCTAATCATACGACGAGACAGGTGTATTCACAATATATACAATACAAAAGAAGAAGGCAAAATTTATATATGACATCGCTGATACGAATTTAAGACCTCGTATCTCCTCTACTGTAGCTCTTAAATAAGAGAAGCTATAATTGATTTAAAGCTTACGTGAAATTTGCTTTAATTAACCGTTACTAGAGTTATTTTATAAACATTTTTAACATTTCACTTTATTTTCGGCTGTAAACTTTTTGATTCTAATAAATGTTTAATAAAAGCAAACTTGATCACTAGAATTATATAGTGCAGTTAACTGCACCTGCTTTCATATTTGAGGAGTAATGAAAATAAATAACTTAAAATTTTATTGTGTAATTCAATATTTAGTTCTGAGGATTTAGCACCTGTTGTAACTAAAGAGCCTGAAAGAAAGGTAAATTTGGTTAGTTAGTTATATATATATATATATATATATATATATATAGAGGTAATATATATGTACTTTATATATATAGTTTTATATAAAGTTTATATAAAGTAGTAATCTTTGTTTGTAATTCCGATCATCTATTAATAAAACAAGACATTCGTATATATATTTTGTGTATAGCTGGCCAAACGGCTGTACCGGTTGGGCTGAAATTTTTTTGTGGACACTGATGGGTGGTCGGGGGTGTTATAGGCTAAAAAAAATACAAAATTGTTTTTAAAAAATATTTTTTTCACATTTTTTCCACGGGCCCTAAACTAGTAGCTCACAAACCCCTAGACCGATTTGTTTAAAATTTTGATTAAAGAACTTGCAGTAGAACCACGGAAACAATAGAACCACGTAAACGTTCTTAGCTTTAAAATGTCTAAATTAAGTGGGTTCATTTTTTTGGCAAAACTTCAGGGAAAGGTGGGTTCCCAAGCTAGTCTATTTTTAAAGCAGTAAAATCAAAGTAAATCTCTGTTTGTATGTCCCGTCATATGAACTCTTTGGCCAATTTGCATCAACTTTGGATTGGTGAATGTTCTTAGCTTGGTTTAAACATTTTAAATTGAGACGGATTAAATTGCAGTTTCCAGACAAACCCAAACTAGTAAATATATTTAAAGTAGATTCTAATAATCTGAACATATGTTATCAGCTACATAAAACGTACACAAATTTCTTTTTTGAAGAATGTCCACTAAAAAGACGTGACATACTAGGACAGCTCTTTTCCTGAAAGTAATTGCCATGTAAAAAAAAATTGTAAAAAATGCAAGATAAAACAATTTGCCTTGGAAACAAGACGAATTTCAAAATTCAGAAAAAGAGTTATCTTTCATATTCTAAATTCCAAAGATCGACTCTTTGAGTAAAACTCCTTCAATAACGAATATTTTTTTCTTTTAGGATGTCTGGCGGGAGCGTAAAATTATAATAGATGAACAAACTGAGCTGAATTCCGATCACGGGTTAAAGGAAGACGACCTCCCAGAAACTGAGATTAAATCTGAAACTTTTGTAAGTAAACTAAAATAAAAGGGTTGGAATTTCAAATGACCCTTCATTTATAAAGTTGCGTGTCAAATTAAAGTTTAGTCTGATTAACAACTGTACTCTTGAAAGCATAGTCTGATTAACAACAGTACTCTTGAAAGAGTCAGAATTTAGCAAAGAAGAAAAACGACGATATCTTCCACATTAGATGCTACTATTGGAACTTTCACTTTGGGTTGCTAAGATCTAAGGATTTAAAATCAGATTTGTGTTAAAACATCAATTCCTATATCTGACATTGAAGGTTGGACTTTGTTACCTCGTAGCTCGTGTTTTGATTTTACGAACAAGTCTGAGAATAGAAATTCAAAACATATTTGATATTCTCAATTTAACTCTTCAATAATAGGAGTTTATATTGTAAGCATTTCAGATTATAATGTAACGTAAAATATAATAAATACTTCGCAACATTTTCTGGAAAATTTAAAAATAGAATTTTAAAACTTCAAATGAGAGTAGGATTATAAAATAATAAAGGATTAGAACTATACTTTAATCTTTAAATACTAAAGTAACCAGAAAATTCTGTTATATAGGGCGTGGGTCGACTCAAAAGTACGTTTAGCTCCGTTCTAGGCAGAATATCTAGACAGAAATCCACTGGTTCAGGTTGGAGTTATCTTTTTCATCTTTGAGAAGAAAAAAAACTTATCATTCGCGCATTAATTTGAACATCAAGGTAAAGGGATTGACCGGCAATGTAGTTGAACTGAGAATGTAGTATTGTGGAGAAATTTTTTAGGATTTATTTGAGACATATGAAACGTTTTAATGATGTATAATCATTGAGTTTTAGCGCAAAATCGATTTTTGAAATCATTCATTTAGGTGATTACGTTTTGCGAATTGATTTTTTAAAAATTATTAAATTTTGACTACAACTAATGTTACAAAACTTCTACAGTACACTAGAGACTAGCTGTTTAGGAACAGTACACTATAAACTAGCTGTTTAGGAACAGTACACTATAAACTAGCTGTTTAGGAACAGTACACTATAAACTAGCTGTTTAGGAACAGTACACTATAAACTAGCTGTTTAGGAACAGGTTGAGAAAATAAAAGTTAACTCTTATCATCGAAAATAAGTAATCTTATTCAGTTATTAATTTCTGTAATCTCTAATTATTCATAAACATGTTCTGTATATTTTCTGAAATTTTTATTGAAAAGACGACATTTGAAGATTTTGTAGAAACCTGCGAACATATTCGTAAAGAATAAGAAATTCCTTATAATGATGAAAAAGAAATAATTGATTCTAACATTGATTTGTTGAAAAATTTCAATTAAGAAATATGTTCCTAAACATCTAATTAGTTTATTGTAGAATTTTTTAACTCATTTTTCGTCGTCGTTATTTAATAATTTTAAAAAATCGATTCTCAGAACGTAACCACCAATGAATGATTTTGAAAGTCGACTTTGCACTCAAACTCAGTAATCATGCATCATTAAAACGTTTTGTATGTCTCAAATGAACCTAAAAAATTCTCCACCATACTACATTCTCAGTTCAACTACCATACATTGCCAGTCACTCCCTTTAAAGGAACTGTTTACGTAAAGACGATTTTAAAATAGAAAAAATAGAAATTTTTCCTACATATTGCGAGTCACTTGATATTACGTCTCTGCAGTCTCTTTAAAGGGATTCAATCATTAACCTTCATGAAAATCCAAAAAGTTCACAGATTTCCAAATATTGCCATGGATTAAAACTAAACAGACAACGATGTCTTACAGTGCGAGAATAATAAAACTCTCTTTCTGAATGGTGATCCAAAGTAAGAAAAACAAAGAGGGAATTTTATTTATTTTCAAATTGTTAAGCGGTCCCTCAGTTGGGTTTCCAGGTTAATTATTATTATTATAGTTAATAAAAATCTTAGATGCATTTATTATGGATAAGTAATAATTGTATACATAAGTATATTTTTTTAATAGCGATTAATAAAACATAAGTTCAAAATCATCTTTAGAGTTAATTTTAAATCCTATATTTTTTCAGAAAATTTGGAATTGAGTTTTTGCTACAAACCAAAAATTGTCTAATTCCTGTATCTTTTGATCCTAAGGGTGTAAACTATTGATTTTTCAACCTTTATATTGTTTGTTAACAGAATTCATGAAAAATTATGGATTGCACATAGATAAAAGGATAAATAAAATCAGAGTTTATGGCAGAGGCTCAATTCCTTTCTTGCAAAGTTTAAAGAAAAAGAAGAATTTTTTTTATTTCTAGAATCTAGCTCTGTGTCAAAAAGTCTTTCTGGAACTTTGGAAAGGTAACGTACTACATACACTGTACTTTCTGGAACTTTGGAAAGGTAACGTACATACACTGTATACCTTTCTGGAACTTTGGAAAGGTAACGTACATACACTGTACTTTCTGGAACTTTGGAAAAGTAACGTACACACTGTACTTTCTGGAACTTTGGAAATGTAACGTGCACACTGTATTTTCTAGAACTTTGGAAAGGTAACGTGCATAACTGCATAGTACATACACTGTATTTTCGCGTTCCAAAGAAAGTTTGGTTTACTTGTTTAATGATTTCTCTGTCTAATATGAAGTTGAGCCCAAACTTCCTAGTTATATTTCTGTTCTGACGCATGTACACTGCTTTAAAATATTTTTATTCCTATATAGGGAAGGAAAAGAGTGTTTCTAAGGTATCATGTTGTTTTTCGAAAACTAGGATGTGTGGGTTAAACTTCCTTAGAGAGAGAAATCATTAAACGAATAAGCCAACGAGGTTATAGTGTATAGAGTAATGATGTACGCTAATCCTTTACTAATTTAATAGGCCATAAAATATACCGAGAGCGTACTGCATATTTATTTATTATTCTGGCCTAATCTATAGTATATCAATATTAGTAAACAGTTGTAAGTGTACAGTACAGCTAACTGAGCACACAGGTAGAGAACTATCATCCACCCTGGAATAAGCTAAACTGCCTTTTTAAATCGGAAATCCTTACCAGGCATTTAACTTTAGGAACACGGAAATACAGTGTAGACAGTAGACTTATTAAATAAAAATGATAAAATGATATTATTGTTATTTTTGTTCAGGAAGTTTAAGACTGTTAGTAATGTTTCTTTGAACCAGACTATCCTAGGCACGTTAACAAATTTAACAAATATCAGAATTTTTCTTTTTTTAAACCATAATTCTTGTCATTTTTCAGTCAATGTGGAACATTTTTTAGTAAAATTAAGTATTATTTATGGTAAAATTATAGCTTTGAATTTACAAATAGTTTTTTAAATTGATTTGTTTTTTAAAAAATGTATGATTTATTTTCCAAAAAAAATTTATGATTTGTTTGTCATCTTATTAATGTGAAAATTTAGATTTTCCAAGAAAGAAGACATTTATATTTTTCTCGAAACAGGTATTTTTTTTCTGTCTATTTTTGTAGACCATATTTTACATTTATAAAATTAACCATATTTTTAATTTATTAATTTAAAAAATTTGATATTTTTAAAGCAACTCAACTTCTCACTCGCAAACAGATTTCTATAAAAAATCAAAGCTTTCCGATGATACTTCATATTTTTTTCATATTTTTATTCATCTTCAAAGCTCGAGAAAATACAAATAACAAATCACAATTTTAACAATGTAGTTTGGACCCGCCTAACCAGAGTTGGTTCCCAATTTCGAGCTTTTTCTTTGAACAATTAAAAAACATGATGCCACAAAAAATACAGATTTTGCAGTGTACAAATCTCAACAAATCCTACCAAAAAAATCTAAACTTTTACGACAACCAACTCATCGATTAACATTAACTTTGAAAACAATCTTAAAATTTGTCCGATGTTCAACCGAGTTCCTCAATCATAAATTTAATGTATTAATTTCAAAAAATCAATTTGATATTTTTAAAGCATCTCAACTTCGCACTCCCAGGCAAAAAACCAAAGCTTTCCGATGATACTTTACCTAATTCCAGCTTTTTCTTTGAACAATAAAAAATATGATACCACAAAAAAATACGAAATTTGCAAATTACGAATTTCAAAAAATTCTAAACTTTTAAACTATAAGTCAATCAACATTAAACTTTGAAACCAAATCTTGAAATATGTTCGAAGTTCAACCGAGTTCCCCAATTAAAATTGTAAGGCAAATCGGTCATTGGGTTCATGGTTTATACCCGTCAAACAAACAGATTAACAAAGATTACTACTTTATCTATGATAATTTAATACATTTTTATAAAGGGGGATCAAGGAATTAATGTTACGGACGATGACGATCTAAATGTTCCTTTAAAGGTAAAATTCTTTTACCATTTAAATTTACGAATATAAAAGTATACTTTGTACTTTTTAATTATTTTTTTATTATCAAAGCCTTTCTGGATTATTTGTACCTGAACAGTTATAATCGAACAGATTTCTATAAATTTTTTCGAGAAATTTCTTCCATTTGTTCAGTTCAGTAAAAGATCATCTGAAATCTGAGATGTAAAATTGAATTTGTTCCCTCCTACATATAATACCCAAACAAGTGAACACTCTCTTTACGTTATTTATGATATATTTATTATTATTATTTGATTATTATCAAGAATGTAATGCAAGGAAAGTTAATTGCTGTCGCATATACTCTGCGTACATATTGAAACCAGTTCTCTCCGGGCGGAATTAGTAAGCAAGAATAGATGCATCAGTATTCGTTTAGTGTCCTAGGAAGTTAAAAGCATTAAATTTTGATAATTTTGATAATTCACATAATAGTTTCCCATGACCAGAATATTTCATTGATTTTTTTATGTAAAAGATGGCTTCGACATCCGTCTTGTGTTTACATTACCGCCCAGATGCGTACACTTCTGAAATAACTTTCCTTGCATTACATCCTTGATTATTATAAGCAGGGCGAGAAAAAACTAAAAAAGTCCAGTCACATATCAATCAGGTAAAAATCTAAAAGAAACCAGAAAAATAAAAATTAAATCAATCCAAGAATTATTTATTACTGTAAATTAAATTTAAATTAAAAAGAATAGCTGAACAAATATTATGATTTATTTTTGTAGGGAAAAGTTTGATTCGCTTACTGGGACTTTGCGCCGGAAGAAAAAAAAGAAGAGCAAGGTAGAGGAAACAATATACAGTTGGAGGATAGAACACATTTTTCCTTGTCTTTTCTGCATGATATTATCAGGTCGATTTTGAGAATCACTAACAATGACTAAGTTTGAATTAAAAATCGAAGTTTTGTAATTGAAACCTGTTGAAGTTTCTCTGCAAAAGTGCTTTGCGAATTTCTTGCTTCAGAAACATTGGAGAAATTATAAGAATCAGAAGATTGTATAATGTTTAAAGATTGTATAATGTTTAAAGATTGTATAATGTTTGAAGATTGTATAATGTTTGAAGATTGTATAATGTTTAAAGATTGTATAATGTTTAAAGATTGTATAATGTTTAAAGATTGTATAATGTTTAAAGAACAGTAAATGTAATTCTAAACACGGAGCGCATGCAAGATCTATTTTGAAAGATTGACACAATTTTTTTTTAACTGTTATTATATTAGAAAACTATATATTTTCTAATTTATTTAAGATTGATTATTGTTTAGATTGAGGAGATACCAATGTTTGTTTGGGTGAATAAACCATGGTTTTCTTCCGTAGAATCCATGCAGTCTATAGACTCTCAACATTTAGAAGGAAAATATGAAAAAAATCTAAGATTATTAAAAAAAATAAAAATCGTTTATGAATTTAGGACTCAGAATATATATATTCTGAGATTTAGAATCGCAATTTTTCATATCCTACCGCTTAAAAATGTTCAACAATTTGTTTTGATATTATCTGAATATAAGAGCAAAAGTTCACACGAGCTTTGCGAGAAATTGCGAAGGATTGAGCAAAAATTCCAAACGGTAATTGGTGGACTAGTCTTCAAAAAAGACTTTCAGAAAGTAACTACAGTGAAACCCTTAATAACGAATACATCGAAAGAATCAATCAAATGTCATATTCTTCACTTTCTGATAATGGAATGTTACAGATATTTAGTTTTTTAATTAAATGATTAAATGGAACTCTTTAAAACTGTTCCCGCATATTCATGGCTATTTATTTATTTTCGCAAATNATAATGTTTAAAGATTGTATAATGTTTAAAGATTGTATAATGTTTGAAGATTGTATAATGTTTGGAGATTGTATAATGTTTAGATGCTAGTAAATCGGTACAACAACAACAACAACAACATGACAAAAAACAAAAGCAGAAAAAGGAATTGTCGTCGTCCAAAAATCAAAATCAAAGAAAGCCTTCAAAACAAAAGTCAGAAAATAAATCAGAGGTAATAAAATTCTTTTTTTTTATCAAAATCCTACATTACAAAACAGATATCCGTGGAATATGAACACAAAACTAAAGTAATAATTAAGTGTATTAGAACATGTTAAAAAGAAAATAGTTCACCAGTAAATTATATTAAATCACTTATTAACTAAATTTCACCATTGAAATTTCTCTGTTCATTGAACTATTTAAAGCCAGAACTTGAGTCCAAAAGTCGTCTTCTTTTTCCAAATCTGTTTGATTCTCGTTGTTTAATAATTAATATTCATAATTTAAGCTGTTCTCCTATAGGTCATTTAGGTTTAACTTGGGGCCGATTTTAATTAATTGGAAAGGTTTAAATCCATGAATCTTTAACTTTTAAACGGTGATTCAAGATTTGAACCGGTGGTAGGTGTAGTTTAGCGACCAAACTCAAATTCATTAAATTTAGTGTCTAAAATAAAAATATTCTTTAAACTAAAAGAATCTGTAATGTTTGAAGATTGTATAATGTTTAAAGATTCTATAATGTTTTAAAAATTGTATAATGTTTAAAGATTGTATAATGTTTAAAGATTGTATAATGTTTGAAGATTGTATAATGTTTAAAGATTCTATAATGTTTTTAGATTGTATAATGTTTAAAGCTTGTATAATGTTTGAAGATTGTATAATGTTTAAGAGTTGTAAAATGTTTAAAGATTCTATAATGTTTGAAGATTGTATAATGTTTAAAGATTGTATAATGTTTGAAGATTGTAAAATGTTTGTAGATTGTATAATGTTTGGAGATTGTATAATGTTTGAAGATTGTATAATGTTTAAAGATTGTATAATGTTTGAAGATTGTATAATGTTTGAAGATTGTATAATGTTTGAAGATTGTATAATGTTTAAGGATTGTAAAATGTTTGAAGATTGCATAATGTTTAGAGATTGTATAATGTTTGAAGATTGTATAATGTTTAAAGATTCTATAATGTTTAAAGATTGTATAATGTTTAAAGATTGTATAATGTTTGAAGATTGAATAATGTTTAAAGATTGTATAATGTTTAAAGATTGTATAATGTTTGAAGATTGTATAATGTTTGAAGATTGAATAATGTTTAAAGATTGTATAATGTTTAAAGATTGTAAAATGTTTGAAGATTGTATAATGTTTGAAGATTGTATAATGTTTGTAGATTGTATAATGTTTAAAGATTGTATAATGTTTAGAACAGTAGACCTTCCAGTGTAAATCGTAGCAAGAGAAGGCATAATTCAGAAACATACGGTCAACATCCAAACAGGTGAAATTAAAGAAATTATAAGATTTATTTGACATCATTTTGTTGTCAAAGGAACTGATTACTTTCCTCGGCCTCGAGAGGCGGATCAAGGGGGGGGGACGTCCCCCTTCCTGGAAAATTGGGGGGACGTCAAACGTCACGTCCCCATATAAAAAAGTGTAAGTCACCCCTGTCGGCCTCTTCATGCTTTTATATCACCTATATGGTTGTTATTGGACCTTTTTGATCTCCAAGAATTCATAGTTTGAAATATCAAAGTCCTGCATCATCAGAATCCAAAGATATGAGAAAAAGGAAGTTAAAGTTTTTGTATATTCTGGTTAGTTTTTGTTTTAATTGAAATATCTGGCAAAATAAATCTGAGATTATTAAAATCAAGATTATTCCACTGCTGTTTTTCACCTTTTTTTACCTTTTTTTCAGTGCAAAAAATAGTTTCCAGTTGAACCCATAAAATTGTTGACTGTAGAGACGACTGATGCACTCAAATTATGATTTGAATAGTCTAATGTACATAAAATTTGCATTGTACACTAACCCAGTCCACTTAATTAGTTGGATTTCAGGATGGTTTAGATGTCGTCTTCATATACCACGGTTTTATGGGTCCCACTTAGGGTTTCTAGCGAAATGGGGAAATCTTTTCGCGAAAAAAAAGTTTTGCTGAAAATTTCGAAATTTTTTGCCCTCCGTTCATTAAAAAAAATGCGAAAGTTTTCGCTTTTTTTTCGCGTTTATCTGTTTCGCGAAAAAAATTACGAAAAACTGTCTCACGAAATTCTGCATCGATTTTGCTTTCTTTTGCAAAATTCATCTTCGCGAAAAATGCAAAATCTCGCGAAATACGAAAGAAAATTTCCGCGAAACTTTTCGTTCGCTGGAAACCACACCCACTAGGCTAAAGTTTTGAATATATTTTTTACATTGTTTCAGAATTGAAGAAGTGGAGAAACTATCACATAGAACAAGGTAAAAAAAAAAGATTTCCTAAAAATTATTTTAAGCACATTTTTTTAGGTCTTTAGGGAAAAGTTCGCTCGGCCCTCAGAGAATGCGAATAGAAGATCCAAGGCAAACATGAATAAATCTACGAATATTTTATCAATCACGCAGATTTAACGGTTCGGTCCTTATCCAAGAGAGCTGTACCTTTTGATCACAATTTGACATGTTAAGCACGATTTTTCGTTTTTTCTCAGTACCACTTTTTTTGTCGGCATATGCGTTTAAACGAAAAAGTATAATAAGACAACTACGTATACAGATTGTTGAACTATAGACCAACACGTGATTGAAAAAAATAGGAGAAACCGAATGCGTCTCGCTCTGGTTAGTCCGGGGTGCGATCCTTTTCCCAGATTCACATTATCCGCCCGGCCAGGGTTAATATTGCTCGGCTACTTCAATTTTTATTCAATCACGTTTTGTTCTATAATTCGACCATTTTTAATTAGTTATTCCTTTCTAGTCTTTCATTTAAATTGCACTCGCCGACAAAATAGGATGAGAAAGAAAAAACGAAAACTTTCTTGATATTAGTGTTTATACAAATCATTTGTTCGCTTAAATTGTTAAAACAATTTTTTTAAACCATAATTTGTAACCTTAAGCAATGATATGATATTTAGCAGAAAAAAAATAATTTTTGAAAAAGGTTTTTTACACTAAATCCTGTTTACTCTGGTTTAATATAAACATCTTAATTGAAAAAAATATATTTTTTCTTCATTAATTTCCAAGTTCGAAAAGGTTGCACTTATGATAAGACAAATGTCAGCCAAAAATTACTGTGGGCCTTTTCGCCATTGCGAGCTTTTATAGTAAAGACTTTGATGTATTTGAAAATATTTAATTTCATGTTGTGATTACGGTTTATTTATTCATGTCTAATTAAAGAGAGGATTATCTAGATTTTGCTGCAGTGCAAAAGAAAGAAAAAAATAATAAGATAGGAAACGGGAAAAATAAGAATCGAAATAAGTGAAATCAACCATGAGAATAATATGGTCTGTTGATTTTTTATATTGTGATGTTGCAATGTATTTTTAAGCAAAGCCCTTTTATAAAAATATTTAAAGATTGAACCAGTTGTTTCATATTATTTCGAAATTTCATTTTATTTAAAGATATTTTAAAACTTTATTTTTCAGTTTGAAATAAACAGAATGAAATAAGAACATTTAAATGAGAAATACATTTGTTTTTGTTTTTCTTTAAGTTAATACAGGGTGTCCCACGAAGCGTGACAGTTGGTAAATAGTTTAAAATATCTTCTTCCATAATTTTATTTTAATTGTTTAATACCAAAGACAATAATAAAAATATTATACGGGAGTCACGTTATCGTAAAATTAATTTCAAAGTAAAATATATTTGAGCAAAAGATTTTTTAAACGAAATCAACGGCATAATCTAATACAGTGTATGAAAGACGACATTCAAAACTATTTACCAACTGTCATGTTTTGTGGGACACCCTGTATATTTAAAATCAAATTCAAACAAAATTTGTCTATAATTTTAAAAAAACGAAAATTAAGTAACTGTAACATAACATTGATCAACCATGCTAAGCTTTCTATTTTGCCCTTTATATCTTTAATTTTGAAATCATTGATTATAAATAAATTTACAATATTGTATTTCGATTTATGATAATATACATACGTTTGTTTACATACAGGTTTTCCCAATAAACAGTTTTATAAAGCTATTTAAGGACAAAATACACGCCAAACTAAAGTAAATTGCCTTTAAGATATATTTTTAGTCATAACTCCTCTTATTGAAGAGCTATATTGAGAAGAACGAAAATATTTTAAAGTTTTAGTATTTAATCAAAAAAGGTTAGTCTAGTTTGCAGTGAAAGGTTTGTCTAGTTTGCAGTGAAAGGTCTGTCTAATTTGCAGTGAAAGGTCTGTCTAGTTTGCAGTGAAAGGTCCGTCTAGTTTGCCATGAAAGGTCTGTCTAGTTTGCAGTGAAAGGTCTGTCTAGTTTGCAGTGAAAGGTTTGTCTAGTTTGAAGTGAAAGGTTTGTCTAGTTTGCAGTGAAAGATCTGTCTAGTTTGCAGTGAAAGGTTTGTCTAGTTTAAAGTGAAAGGTCTGTCTAGTTTGCAGTGAAAGGTTTGTCTAGTTTGCAGTGAAAGGTTTGTCTAGTTTGCAGTGAAAGATCTGTCTAGTTTGCAGTGAAAAATCTGTCTAGTTTGCAGTGAAAGGTCTGTCTAGTTTGCAGTGCAAGGTTGCAAGCGGACTTGTAGGCTTTCCAGGAGTCATTTAACTTTTTAAGACAAAATTGTGTCATTACATAGCTATCAAAGACAATTTTTAACTTTAATTTTTTGTTGGGACACCCTGTACGTACAATAATAAATAATCCATCAAACCACTATAGTTTAACATGAAAGGAAGACATCTGATTGCACATATATACGAATATATTTTATTTGAGAAATATAAAAAGAATGAAAATAATTCAGCTTTTAATATCAAGCTTTTTGTTTCATTGATTAAATAAAAATAAATTTCGAAAATCATTTTAATTTTTTCTTTAAAATACATATTTGAGTAGTAATGTTTCTCTTTTATGAATTTAAATCAAATAACCTCGGAATAATGAAGACGACTTTCATACAATTAACCCAGAACTTCGGAAACATAGAAAGCAATTATAGAATGTCGTCTTGACAATTTTTCAGGGTTTTTACTGTTATATCTAAATACCCATAAAATATGCGGGAACACGTAACTATTAAAAAAATATCTGCCGCATTCCATTATCTTTAGGTGATGAAAAAGACATTTTGTAAATTCTTTCGATATTCTAGGTTAAACAGTGGACGAATTATCCAAATGATAAAAGGCCGTTTGTTTTTACTTACTGATAAATGCTTTGTATGTTTTGTTTTGAAAAAAAAGTCCGTGATGTATAAAATCACAAGGATGAGACTTCAATCTTTTAATGCATATAAGATATTCAGGTCGTCATTAAAGTCTCTTCTTTTGTGCATAGCCCTGCCGTATTATAAAATGAACATTCTTTTAAATTCCATTTTATTGATGATCCTGATTAACCAATATTTCTACGGCCTCTACCCCGTCCTCTACACCAGCCTCTATAGCCTCCACCTTGTGGTTGAAGATGTTGGTGATCAAGTCCACGGTGTTGCTCAGGGTATCGGTGGCCAGTGCTCCAGCTTAAATAATAATCATGATAATTAAATAAAAAAAATTTAAAAATTTATTTTTTTGATTATGAGCTCATAATAAATGAATTGCACAGGAAAATTATAAAAAAAAACTTAAAAAGAATTTAAATTGGTCACATTTTTCCTTGTCTTTTCTGCATGATATTATCAGGTCGATTTTGAGAATCACTAACAATGACTAAGTTTGAATTAAAAATCGAAGTTTTGTATTTGAAACCTGTTGAAGTTTCTCTGCAAAAGTGCTTTGCGAATTTCTTGCTTCAGAAACATTGGAGAAATTATAAGAATCAGACACTTTTAAGTCAGAGAAACGATGTTATCTTCCACATTATTGATCAGATCAAGGTTTCAGAGATTCTCTTGTAAATCGGGCTCAAAACTCTTTAAATTTAAGGTCACCTAAAATTTCGACAGCAGTCCCTTTAAATTAAATTTTAAAAACTCACCTTCTCCTGCTGCTGATGTCAAGAAATCAAAATGATTGTTAGCTGTAGTCCAAACATAATTTGTGATATCTGCCACAATATCAGCATTGGCTTCAATGAGGTGCCCAGCGCCCTGAATTTGTCACGAGGTTACTGAGTAATTTTCTTTTAGGGGAAAAATTAGGCAAAGTGTACGAAAAGCAAAATTCTTAATATCTCTTGTTGTAAACCTTCGATATTTTAAACTATGAGTTTTGTTAGATTGAATAATTTAAGTTTAAAATTTCAAACGTGTACACCATAGGATGCAAAGGTATAAATATTTGATTATTCATATTTCATGGCAGCGACTAAATTCCTTTTCAAATCAAATCTTATAGCTTTACCTCTGCAACCTGAGAAATAAGTTGATTTGTTGTATCAACAGCATCCTCTCCGATGGCCTCTAAATGGTCCAATGTGGTAAGCATGTCCTCCCTGTCCTCTAAGACCCTGATCTCTGTGTTGTTGTCCTCTGAATTGTCCCAGGGAAAGCTGGGCAACCAGAACTGGAGGCTGGGGGTGGCAAGGACGAGGAGAGGGAGAAGTCGGACAAACATTGTTTCCTAAACAATATTTTAAAATAGAAATTATATATTTATTATTATTTATAAATTAAGAATCGAAAATAATTTTTTAGTTTTTTTCAGAAACTTTAAGCAAATAAACGCAACTATAGGTCAAGGTTATGCACTTGACAAGCCAAAGCTTCAATATAACTGATAATTTCTCAAACGGAAAGAAAACAATCCGCAATTAATTTCATCAAATCTTAAAATGTAGGGGTGCCATATATCACTTCCAACTGAAGCGTTTAAAACCCCTTTTGAATTCAAAAACAGTTTTTAATGTGAGAGATTCATGAAATTAACTACTATACCACAAAAAAGGTTTTTCTAGTCTTAACTAGGGGATGGAGGGGTGGCTGCTCTCAGGGTTTTGGAATGGCTCCCATGGTTTTTGAGTGCTCCCAGGAATTTGGAGTTGCTCCCAGGGTTTTGGATTAAATGTGAAAATGTATCCTACAATTAATGAAAAGTCCTTTAAAAAGGGTACTTAAAAAACGAAAATTAAAAAAATGGCTCTGCTACCCCTTCTTTTACTGTCCATGTTCAGAAATTTGCAGAGAAAAAAATCGCAAATTTCTGTCCAAGTAGCCAATGGCGATCATATAGTTTTAAGTAGCCAAACTGACGACATTTGTTTTCTTATAACCTTAAAGATTATTGGTAAATGTAATTTTTTTTTTTTTAGCTAGATACATAAAGGTTTCACTTGAGCTGGTTTAATACATCTCAACATCTTTATAACTTATCTTATTTCCAAGTTTTTTTTTCAGAAAAAATCCAATTTTTTGCCTATAAAAATTTATATTTGATTGGTGCCTTTAAAAAGCGTTTTTACTCAACACTCACAAAAAAAGAATTGTTTTATGTCAAATTTAGAGCCTCCTATATGGCGCGCACTATACCAAAAATCATCAAATATTGAGATATCGGAGGAAAACAATGTTTTTTCTAAGTTTTCCTCAGATACAGGGTGTCCCATGAAACATGACAGTTGGTAATAGTTTTGAATGTCGTCTTTCAGGTACTGTATTAGATATTAAAGACTTATCGCAGTTTATTTCGCCAAAAAAGATGTTTTATTACTATTAAATAAATTTTACTATAATATGACTCCCATATAATATTCTTTATCATTCTGTTTTGTATAAAATAACGTAATAAATAAAGGAAGAAGACCTTTAAAACTATTTACCAACTGTCATGGTTTCGTGTTTCAATGTGAGTGTAAAAACGCACTTTTTAATGGCACCAATTAATTGAAGTTTAAGGCAAAAAATTGAATTTTTCTGAAGAAAAAAACTTTGAAATAAGATAAGAAATTTGCGATGTATTTCCCTGCAAATATCTTTGCAATCGCGTTTCATGTGGGTGGCCCGGTGTGAAATAAAATATAATTTAAAAAAAATTGAAATCGCAATACCTTTGAATTAGATTTAGAAAAGGATTAACTGCAATGCAAAAAATGTGGAAGGTGAAGGGGTCAGGAAGAAGATGAAGATGAACTGATTTAACCCTGACCTGAGATCTAGATGGGGGGGG